GGGGGGGGGAGGGGAAGGGTTTCTAAGGTAGGGGAGGGTTCACCATATCCATTTCCTTCAATTTTTTATTTCATTTTTTTCTCATTTAGCTTGGTCCCCCTGCTATACATTTCTTTCGTTTCCTTCATTTCATCCTTTCATTTTATTTCATCTCATTTCGTTTCATTTCACCCCATTTCACTTGGCTTCGTTTCACTTCATTTTCATCCCATTTTCATCGGGTACATCATTGGTGAATCTGATGCATTATTGAGAGAAGGTGCATTGCTCGCTTACCCTTCAGGTGGAGTAGCTCCTTCTCCTGCCCCAGTTTCCCGGGAGCCGGCCCCAGCAGCTGCCGTTGTCGACGGCGCTGTCTTCTCCTCCTCCGCTTTCGTTACAAGATCCAGGCGTCGGCGCAACACCCCATGACCTGAAGCCTTGTTATGATAAAACTCTCCAGAGTAGCTAAGGGAAGGAAACCCATCAAGCCAAAATCACAACATGATACACACTCACACACACGGACACATACATACATGCATCCACACACACACACACACACATCCACAAAGTGCACACGCACACACACACACACGCACACGCATGACACATGCACCCCCACACAGACACACAAACACAAAGACATACACACGTGCACATGCACCCCCACACAGACTCACATAAACACAAAGACATACACACATGCATGCACATCCACACCCAACCACGAGCACACACAGACACACACTCACACACAGATATACACATATACACACACATACGCACGCCAATCAACACACAACCGCCCGAGCACACACACAAACACAAACAAGCAAACAAGGTGAAACTTGTCAATAGGTGTTACCTACCTATGGAGGAGAGAGGTGGCACGAGTGAGGGACAAAGAAGCTCAATAAGGCCGGCTTGCAAAATCTCCCCCACTCATTCAAATCACGCCAAGACTAGTACACACAGCTTCTTTCTAGGTTTACCCAGACGAGTGCTTCACTTGCAGAGCAAAGGAAGCGAGGTCGTATATGATGGCACAGTCGAAAACTAAATGTCACAAAAGAAGAAAGGGATAATAAACAAGGAGGATGACACAAAAGATCGCCGAAAGAGGCACGAAATGTGGAAACGTGACTTTCCAAAACAGGGGATATGGTGGACTCATCCCCACATACGGCTTCCCCTTCGTGCTGTTTCTCCTATTGTTTTTCCACAAGATTACCAAAAACAGGAAATACGGCAGATTATCCAAAGTGACAATCTGACATTCTTAACCATGCAAACAACCACCAACCCAAGCTCTCAGCTGTTCATACCCAAACAGGAAATACTGTGGAGATCCATAGTAGAACCATCAGCTCACTCACTCACATTGTAAATGCATCAATCAATCAATCAATCAAATTCAATTTAAACCAATCATCCATCCGCCCATCCATCCATCCATTTGCCAATTATCTCCATCAAGCGATCATAAGTCCTTTCATCCATCCGTCAACGAATCTACCAACCAATCAATCGGTTCAACCAATGAATCCATCCATCCATCCATCCATCAATTAATCAACCAATCAATCAATCAATCTACGAACTAAAAAATCAATCAATCAATCAATCAATCAATCAATCAATCAATCAATCAATCAGTTGTCTGTGGGTGCTTCTGTACTCAACCTGCAACATATCGCAAAGCTGAGCTGTTTGCTGCCGTCTCGCAAAGGGGAAGAACCACGGAGTCAATCAATCAATCAATCAATCAACCAAGCAACCAACCAATAAATCAACCAATAAATCAATCAATCAATCACTTCAGCCAATGATCCATCCATCAATCAATCAATCAATCAGTCAGTCAATCTACAAACTAAACAATCAGTTCAATCAATCAATCAATCAATTACCAATCATCCATCCATACATCCATCCATCAGTGTACCAACTACAACAATCAGTCCTTTCCATCCATCCATCCATCACTTCAACCAATCAATCGGTCAATAGCTCCAAATGCATCAATCAATCGATCAATCTGTCCACCCATCCACCATTTCAACCAATCAATCACCCCATCAATCAATCAATCAATCAATCAATAGCTTCGCAGTGAGCGAGCAAATGCAGACACCTGGCCGTATCGACTACCGCCCCCTCGCAGTCTCACAAACCGCACTCCAACTGTCACACCCATCATATGAGTGGGTTCAAGTGGGCAGGTTCAGGCAATCATTGCAGAAGCAGGAAGAAGGTTTCAAAGTTTCAAGCTCCCTACGTTCCAGATGCAGCAGTCTCGAGCACTCCTCGCCCGTGGAATTGATCGTCAAAGGTTAACCCTTCATACCTGCACAAATTAAAAAAAAAAAATAGAAAACAAACAAACAAACAAACAAGCAACCGACAGTTGGTACACCCATGTATGTTGAAGTCTTTCGGGACATCCGTTCAAATTGGAACAATACAGAGAAGATTGGCATGGCCCCTCCGCAAGGATGCCAACACGCAAAAATCGAGATATGTTGAAATACAGAGCTGAAATCGAATCCGGACGCAATCAGATGAACAGAATAAAATCATTCGCATTGGGCCCGGTCAGTTCAATGATGATATCTCAAGGACGGCACCCTCAAATAATTAAAAAATCATAATAATAAAAATAAAATAAAAACCAGGGAACCACAACAACCTAGTCGGAGCTGCAAAAGGAGAAGAGACGACGACAGATCCCAGTCATACAAACGTAGGCCATACTCAGACGATGCCTGTACTGGATGTATCTGACCACTTTTACAGCCAGTCCTCAATGCACCTGACAGCAATCAAGTCCACATTCACGTTGAAAAAGTCCCAGTGTGATCATACAAACCCATTCATTCTTTCAATGACAACTTACCAAGCACATTAAAGAAAAAGGGAAAAAAAAAAAAAAAAGGAACACTTGAAAGGGGTTGGTGCATTCACAAAATCAAAAATTCGGACGACACTTGTGACAAAGTTAACGAATCTTTTTTTTTTTTTTTGTCTCTCTTTCCAAAGCGCAAAATTCGTGAAATTCTGCCATCAAAAAAGGGTGACAAATTATTGATGATTCTTTTTCGTTTTAAGCCCAAAAACAAAAAAAACAAAGAAGATGATACTATGATAGTGTGCAAGCGATGATGATATTTTTCGCTTCTAGCCGAAAAAACAAAAAAAAGAAAGTTTGCGAAGCTCTGTCCTTGGTACTCCTCACAGTCCGGGTGTGTGATTGATGATTTTCTTTTTCGTGCTTAGCCCAAAAAAAAAAAAAAAAAAAAAAAARTTTGCAAAAGTTTGCGAAATTCCATCCCTAGTACTCCTTTAGTCCGGATTGTCTGAGGAGCAGCAACAATCCAGTTCCAGCCATATCAACAAACGCACAAAAGAAAAAAAAGAAAAAAAAAAAGAAACGCAGACCCTAAATTGCTGAATCTAAATTTCCAAGTGTAAAATAATATACTAGAATTCCAAACCCATTTTTTTTGCACTCAAACAAATTGAGCTCCGTCCGCGCCCTCTGCCCATAACTCCTAAAGTGCGGCTTGCTTGTCGACGGCCTTAAGGTTGCAAGGGACGGGGAGCTCATACTGGTGGTTAAAACGCCACAAAACCGAAAATGTTGAAAGTGATGATTGAAAAAAATACTTAAATAGCAAAAAACAAAAATAGAAAAATAGAAAAATGGAAAGAAAGAAAAAAAGTAAAATAGCGATTGTTTGGTCGGCGGATTGACAGCTGAACTTACACGTCACCGTTCTGGAAGTACCAACTATTCCATTGCAGGAAAGTCTGGTCCTCTTCCAGTTCGAGGTCCAGGTCGTATCCATACTTGATATACTTTTTCAGGAAACTCTCGTCAGGACGGGGGGCGCCGATCATATCCTCGACAACTTTTCCTTCTTCATCGTAAGCGTACTTGACTTTCTTCTCGCCGGTTTCTTCATCCTCCTCCTCCTCATCCTCCTCCTCCTCGCCCTCCTCCACATCGTTGCCATCACCTCCCCCCCTACGCTTTCTCAAGGATTTCTCCCCTCCCCCAATTCCCTCTTCCTCTTCGCCATCACTCTCACGGTCCTGCTCATCCGCACTCAAGTAATCCTCGTCGTCCATTCTTCCTCGCTTTCACACACACCGTCCCCTACACGTCTGCGGCCGCCAGTCTTCTGTGGTTGTTCGATAAAGACAGACGGTTTGGGAGCAGGAGAGGAGTACAAGGTTGGAGGGGGGAGGCGGGGAGGAGAGGGGGAGAGTAGGAAGAGGGAGGAGAAGAGGGAAGAGCAAGGGAAGGACAGGAAAACAGATTTGCAAAGAAAGAAAGGGCAAACATACGAACAATCAAACCAACAACACAGCAATTGGATGAGCATTGAATGAGTAAATCAATCAAGGACTTGGCTTCACCATCTATTATCTAAACTAGATGCCCCGTTGGGGCTTCTTCTTCCACAAAAGAAAAAGTAACATCTGGACTCTCTCTCTCTCTCTCTCTCTCTCTCTCTCTCTCTCTCTCTCTCTCTCTCTCTCTCTCTCTCTCTCTCTCTCTCTCTCTCTCTCTCT